CAGGGAAGACTAACAAGTTTGCAGGAGAGGCAGCGAAGATAGGACTTCAGGTGGACGTAGAGAAGACAGAGGTGATGAAGATACCCAACCAACAACAACAACCATCAACAAGAGAAATCTAAAGGAGGTTGACTCTTTCACGTTTCATTGTTTCAACTGCAGGCGGTACAGATGAGGACGTCAAAGCCAGAATGGGAAAGACAACAAGACAGGCCTTCACTAATCTGAGATCAGTGTAGAGATCTACTGCACTGCACTGCACTGAACTCAGCATAAAGCGTGAACAAGATTCGGATTTTCAACAATAATGTCATTTAAGTCAGTGCTTCTATGTGATGGTTCAAATACTTGGCACCTTACGAAGAGCATTCCCAACAAGCTGCAGACATACATCAAAAGCTGCTGCCTACTGTCACTGAATACTGAAGATCAAATGGATGTCCAGAAAGAATAAGCAAGGATGAACTCTGACTGGCTGGCAACGAACCAACCAAGCAGCAACCTATCGCCCAACAAATATACAGAAGAAAGTGGAGATGGATTGGATTGGGCATACATTGAGAAGACCATTTGAGGACATCACGCGCCAGGCCGTCGAGTGGGAACCAAATGGGAAACGACGACTTGGGTGTAAGAGCTGAGGGTGACATGGAGGAGATTGTGTGAGGAAGAAATGAGTGTATGTGGGCAGTCGTGACGCCAGGTTGAAAATACTGCAGAGAAGAGAGTGAAATGGCGACATGCTACTGAAGTCTTTTTTCCCACTGGGAACTCAAGGGACAAATAATAGTAAAATTGAATTCAGTTGAGATGCTTGATGCGCTATTTTAGAGATGGCTTGGAAAAACCGATGTGAATTACAACACGAGAGAATCGTATATCCGCTTTGTCTTTGATTCAATTGTCATCGATTCTGTTTAAGATTCATGTGATGACGAAATCATCCTTGATGAGTAAGTGGGTTGAAATACAGTGGCTAGTATCAGTTAACTTGAAGGGTCTGGGCCTAAGCCTATTGCAAACTAATTCACTTCTGGTTAACTGAATCGTTTGTTATGATTGATGGTGTTACAAGGGAATATTTTGTAAGATTTTACTGAATCTTGTTACTTGTACTACAGTCAAGTTGAACGACTTAAGAGCAAAGGGCCAGTAACCCAGTGGCCGATGGCTGAAACCCTGTCACGACTTAGGTAATCATTTCACCTTCAATCTTCACCCACTAGGGATAATAATAATAATGATAATGATAGTAACCAGCCTAGTGTTAATTGTGCAATGAAAACAATATGAACAGAGCCATCATGATATAAAGCGACAACATCTAGCGACAATAAGTTAATTTATACATTCATCTATCTGGCTTATTAGTCTATGGATATGTTTACTCAAGAACAAATTATCACTATTTTACCGATGAGTGAGTACGATACGGAAATAAAGAAATAACAAATGTGAAGTGTGACGTAGAAGTTGAATGTAACTACTAGTAATAGTATTGGTAAACAATGTCACAAAACTAATGACATGAAAATAATAGTTCATCAGGGATGCCAAGGAGGGTACATGAAAAAATGGAACGGAAGATTAAAGTGTGAAATCTATAACAGGAACGTTCATAAATAATATTTTGACTCTTTTATGTGTACATAAAGTGCAAGTACTTGAACACATGGAGCCTGTTTTCTCATGTCGATTCATACAGCTTCTGCGATACATAAGAGACGTAGTTGTTTTGCATCGATTGGTCGGTCACCGGAGGGCAATTTAACTTCATGTTGTTTAGTCCTAGGTGCTGATCGAATTCTATCGATCATTTTGAAATGTGGCTACCGGATTAGGCAGCTCAGCATCGCGATGCACTTTGATAGATGTTAGTTGGATGGAGGCAATCGACAGGAAGCCATAGACTTAGGTTGACGCCTTGTTGACGAGTGCTAACAAGCGCGAAACCCCAAGTCCAGGGATTCTTGCCGACTACTTCCATCCAACTAACATCTATCGTAGTTGTTCTGCTTTTAATGGATTTTAGGGAACACGGTAGATCACATAAAAGGCCAGGTCTAACCTGATTCAATGTCCACTATCTAATAAATGCGAAAGAATTGCACTTACTATTGCTTTACCTAAGTAAGCCGGCACGTATTCATGAGTGCTCATGGTTAATTACACCACTACATTCTACTTATTTGTTATATAAGTAACTCAATGATATATACGAAAAATATGCCAACTCATTGTTGAATCTACACGGATTATATGAAATTTCGACGAATTTCCAGATTTTCTGATATTTAAGGATACGGGTATCTGATACATGTTATGAATTGAATGCGTATTGCTTTATTTTGTTTGATTTATGGGGGCAGAAATATAGTCAGTTTACTGTTCCTGCGTCACACTGGTTTCACACTTCAGTAAAATAGAAAATTCCGTGGGTACATTCGGAATGGAAAGAGTATCCATAAAAGAAGACGAATACCAACTGATGAATCTTGATCAACACTGAAGACTTTAAAGAAACGTCAATTATGACCGACTAACCATTTCATGTACATAATTCGCCCGATACATGGAGTTAATTATGACATGAATAACTAACTGTCAAGTCTTGCTTCAATACTAGATGATGTATTCGAATATTCAAGGGGCTTGGGGAGGGTATAGCATGAATTTCCTCAAGGTTTCAGAGCAAACTTACTGATGAGCTCCAAAGAACAGAAGACGTAGACCAGCTATGCCTTCTAATTTGATCGATTTCAAATATCTAACAGCAACTATCGATTCCTTGGTGACTATCATGGTACAGAAAATTAGAATGAACATTCGCATATCTAGTCGACAATGATTGCATATGAGGCTTGTTTTCCCACCAGTCGGTTAAATTACACTTTCCCTGAACCATGCTTTTTAAGTTACACTCTGCATTTTTCGATTTGTGCTCTTGTTTTTACATTATTTAGGTTAACGTGTGATCATGAGAAGTCAATAATTATACTGTTTAGTAGTGTCAATAGAATATGAACAGGTAGATTGAGTTGGACCGCTGATTGATGTCTATTCTGTTTCCAATTTTTATCCTTTCTAAGTGTCATCGAAACTTAGGGAATATAAACGCTAATGTTGAGATATGCTGAATCAAAAGCTCTCAGCAACCTTGTGCACATATGTAGATTAGGCGATGAGCCACATTTACTGTATGAAGGCTAATTATACTATCTGGATACCCAAACCTCAGTAGATGGGGTGGTGTTGGGCTGGTCATCCTGTAGGTTGAAAGTTATCTCCCTAAACCAAAGACTCTCATCTCCATAGAGATATGCTGGATCATGGTATGAGAAAAGATTTGTGAAGAATTTTGCAGAATTAAACTCGTAAGTAAGGTAGTCAGGAGGAGAGGAGGAGATAAGGAATGCAGTCGGCTACCGATCGGATAGTGAAATAGGATAAATGAGTCAACTCTAATCATATATAGTATTGACTCTTACTAATATCTATCCTTAAGTGTATTATCACTTCCATAGACATAATCCGCACTATGTAATGTGGAGAAAAGCATGAGGAAACGTTTGGGCTCAAATATACTTATTATTACTCATCATACAACTCCCTATTTCGCCCATCTGAAAGTTAGATATTCCAAAGGTCACCTGGTTAAGTTTGTTAATAAAACAAAGTTGAGTGGTTTCTGCTTTTTTTGGAAGTGTTTTCTCCGTCATAAAAAGCATCCATCAATTTTCTGATTACCACATGGTAGTAATGCATATTATTTTTCTATTATTTATCTGAGAAGTCGTGACCACTGGGGGAAACTAAGTCGGACGTGATGACGGGTACTCAACGATGGAACTGGATGAAGGTCATGGTATGCAGAGAACTGAGACAAGTGGGAAAATGTGAACCATTGGATTCTGACCCAGTGACTGACTGGTAGTGCGCTCTTCATGGAACCTCAGGGTCCTGGATACGCACTGCTGAGGAGACCCATATTAGGATGAAACAGCTTTCCAGTGCTCTCAGGTTTTAATGGTTCTTCAAGTGATATCAGTCTGCGATGGAAAGCAACTTGTGATTACCTTTAAAACAATAGATTTATATGCCTTTCATAATTTGGGTTTCCTGTAGGTCACAAGATTTCGACTTTGTCATATATTCTCCCATTTTCATCAAAAACGAGAACCAGAATCTCAGAACAAATTAATCTCATCATATTTTGAGACGTCTCTTCAGCTGCTGACAGCCTAAATGTGCATGGAACTAATGAAACAAGAACATCGATTTTCGTTAACCAAGAGGAACGTGGAAACTGGTTAAACTCTGTAATCAAGGTGAGATCGCGAATGATAATACAGCAATCTCAGTTGACAACAGAGTAAAACGTCTATTTATAAGTAGTTGTTAAAACTCTAGGACTGTCTTCAAAACTATTTGTATAGGGACGTTTTGCTCTGTTGTTACCTACACTAGAGAATCTAACCAGTTTTTATATTTCTCTTGGGCAACAAAATGTATTATCTGATTTCATTAGTTCTATGAATATTTAGGCTGTTAACGGCTTCGAAACAAAATTAGCTCATTTTATTCTGTGCGTCTGTTTCTTTGTGTTTTGATGAAAGTGATCAAAGGAAAAAAATACTTGATACTCTTCCATTCATTTTGTACTGAAAATTCCTAGCTACAGATACTGACATGTGAGATGTTGGTAAAAATCAGTTACATTACGTATAAGGAAGAAGTTATACAAACTGAATGATCTCGATTACTATAGTTACCAATAGATTGGTTTGTGAGATACTTTTGAGGCGTTGATTAGTTAAATAAAACTGCTCACAAAATGTAACTGAAGTGCTTATTGACTATTGGATTCTAACAAGATGATTTTTTGACAGTTTTTATTCATCAATTCTTACAAGCTACATAAATTGTTAGATTGTTAGAAATCATTTTCTTCAAATCATTTTCAAATTCTTACGTTGAATAGATTGTTTCCTCTTCTTTAGTTTCTTTTGTCCTCCACCTTGTATATACCTTCGTGGAGACGGATGGGGATTGCCTTCTGGACAGACATCGTGTAGTGAGACAAAACCTGGTTCCAACCATGAACGTACAAATCAAGAAGATCTAATGACCTATTCAGCAAATAATATTAGAACATATTCTCTTGAAAATAATAGTTCATCAAGCCCAACAATTACACCTACTCCAGGACCATCAACATCATCATCATCAACTTACACACGAGACCATTCTCAGGTTAGTCAAGTGCCTCTCCATTGTGAATGCAAGTGTTCTGATATGCTTGAAATACTTTTGACCCGAATATAACTCCATGGGTGGACAGGAAATCAAACTATTTGATTCTATAGTTATATATAATATTTCTAATGGCCGAACTTGGTAAATTCTTTCATCCTATTTTTTAAACTAGTGAACACTAGGAGTTACATTTCTTCTAAATAAGGTCAAAGTTTTGCCACTTCTGTGTGCATCTATCGTTTCAGATGCTCAAGTAAATAAAACTATATTGGGCGTACCATTAGGCAGATTAACAGATGTGTTGCTGAGAATCTACCCTCGTGGCTGGGAAAGAGGTAAGTGAAGTCAATACGAAGTTCAATTATGCTGTATTTGATCGTCAGTGGCCATGTAATAGAGAGAATGAAGTCGTTCAAAGTCGTCCATCGCATTCCACAAACTGATGGGGAATATTTGTAGCTCACGTGATTAGTCTTGGTCGTAATGTGTTCTCTAAGCTGGTTTATTTAATCGTAGAGTTTTCATCGTCTTACCAGACGACATCATCAGCACTAACTTCAGTATGAAGTGAGCTGTCAATATCTCTCCATGAGTGATTTAGTAGCTTGCCCTGACGAACTGGTTTCTGATTGGTTGTTTCCTTTGATTACAGTGTCAATGACTGATTGCATAGATTTTCCTGTTGGCTGTTCCACTGCTTGACCTCTGACCTTTCTGTCGTTTATAATTTTTCCTATTGGCTGGTAGATTGGGTCTATATCTATACATCTATTGATCGCTAACTGACTGGTCTGAATGCCAGGCTTTCAGGAATTCTGTGATATTCTTTGTGTTTCCTCTCTCTGTCCAAGATTTCTACATTGTCAAAATTGAATTCATATCCATAGTTATCCGCGTGCCTTGAAGTGAGTAATGAAAATGTCGTGACGTTTAATAAGCAATTGGTGTTCATGTAGACGAAGGCGAAGAGGGCGATCACTTTTTCCGGTGTAGTGTTGACTACAGTTATTGCAGTTGATTTTGTAAGTGATGTTCGGTATGCCTTCTTTGGTTGTCGCATCCTTTGGTCTGCATAATAGTATTTGGAGGGAATTTGTTCATTTATGAACCACACCAATCCCAAATGGTCTCAGTAATCTTATCGTGATTTCTGATATATTCTTTATGTGCGGTAGGATGATGCGTTTGTTGATTTCTGTGGATGACTTTGCAGTTGATGATGTACGGGTTAGGCATCTTCTGATAAAGTTTCGCGGTTGGACGTTCTTCTTTAGGATAGACATGAAGGAATAGTCTTCGTTTCTCCGTGACGTTGTTGTACTGCAGTGTGTTTTCGCTCTTTTGAATAGTCTGCACGCAACTAATTTTGTGCGTTGTTGGGTTGTTGCTACTGTAGTTGAGTATTTGATCAGTGCATGTTGGCTTCCTGTACACTTGGGTTTCCGGCTTTCCGGTATTTGTCTTACTGACTAAAACATCCAGGAATAGTAGTTAGTTGTCTGACTCCTTCTCCATTGTGAGTTTGATGTCATTGAAAACGTTGTTGATCGAACTGTGAGCGTTTTCTATATAATCTTTTTTAATGATGACACGTGTCGTCCACATAGTGAATCCAAATTTTTGGTTTGATTACAAGTAGATTGGTGGTTTCCAGTCTTTGCATCACTGCTTCTGCAATTAGTCCGGATATCGGTGATCCCATTGGAGTTTCTTTAATCTGTTTGTATATCTTGCCATTGAATTGGAAGTATGTTGTCAGATAAAAGTCGATGATTTCCACCAAACTTGAACATTTAAGTGCTAATGATGTCTAGCAGGACGATGAAAGCTCTACGACTAAACAACCCATCTCAGAGAATACAATGCAACGAAGACCATCCACCTAAGCTACAAATATTCTCCACCATTTCAAAATCATACGGTTTGAGAATGCTAATATTCTATAGGCTTACGGTTAGCTATATTAGTTTTACCTGCCTCTGATTTGCTTCATAGATATTCATCTCTGACGACACAAGAAGAACCTCACACTATGAAGATCGTTTATGGATGATGGCAAGAGGTTCGTATGCACGGTAAGCTTAGAGGTCATTGTTCACACAAGTAAATGAAGAAAAAGTAATTGGAAGATGGACTGAATGTTCAAACTTTGGAAACTGGACATATTCTTCCAAGTGATACATTTTCTTAAGCATGCTTGGTAGCATAAGAGTATGGCAGTATTCACGTGGGAAGGGAAGGGGGAGTGGTTTGTGATGAGTCGATAGAAGGAACCACTGAATGGTTTGTAGGAGAATTGATTGGTTCTGAAAGAGTTTTTATCATTGATTGTGATCAATTAGGGAAGCTTTTAAAACTAGGAGGCATTTAACAACCGTTTTATCTCAGTTCGAGAGTCCTCAACAATGCATACGTGCAACCCGCATATGGGACCGAGCCCAGAACATTTAGGTCTCCAGAAAACATGCTGCCATATGGGCGTTGGGGCAGAATCCAAGGTCTGTGTTCCAGTTCTGACTAGTTCATTACATAAGATAATGAGTAATCTTGTGCGTTTTCACACAGTAGGCAGTGAGGTCACACTTAGTGTACGAGGGTCAATGATATCACTAACGGACACAGGACACTACAACCGATCTGTCCTTAAGTAGGAGGAAACCGCTTTCCGGTGATCTGAAGTATTCCTCATTGTTACTTAGTAGAGGTAATGAGACACTACTTAATATTTAGATTAACTTATTCACTTAAAAACTGCTCACTTCTGGCTAGATCATTTATTCGTGCAATTCTCTTTTACTTCAGATACTTGCCTTCATGGGTATTGGTGGGTCAACAACCCCAATGGAAATGATTCAGTTGAATTTAGACGATGGAAGAGATTATTCAAATGCCAAGACATTATTCATTTCTGATTCTGATAAACGAAAATACTTCATGTTAACATTGAAAATGTTTTATAAAAATGGAAAAGATTTAGGCCAGTTTCATTCAAGACGTATTAAAGTTATTTCAAAACCGAGTAAAAAGAAACAATCATTGAAGAATACTGATTGTAAGTGTAACTTTTATTCCAATTGTTGATTGGATTTTTTTATATGCTCTTACACATAGCCAATTTGTTATCTCTGGAGAAGGTGATGAAGTATGTTCTCCTCAGTCGTATTTTTCAGATATAAATTCACGTTATGTTACCCTATACTTGGTTCTAAATTACTATAAGGCGATAAGTAGAAAGTCCTGCCTCGATTTCATGCACATATGTTTATCTTACACAATATTAACTAGTATTATACTATACTTACTGGATGAACTGGAGTACTCAAACTGTTCACAGTATCTTACACTTTATTGAGTCATAAACATATAAGAAGATTGATTTGTGACCACCAAAATGATCGTCCACCAGACGAAGAAACCTCGCACATATTCAAGTTTCACGCAAATGATAGCACGTTAAGCCGACTACTAACTAGTTTTCTTGGTGGTGTTATTTAGCAATGGAATCTGGGACCCACGTTTCGTTCCACTTCAGACTCATCAGCTAGATTTACTTGCATTTCAGTGAGTGGTGGTGTTCCCACTGGGATAATTGTAAAGAAACTTGGTAACCTAAATATAAAGCTTAGCGAAACTCAGTGGATTTTCTAAACCTCATCGGAACTGATTGATGCGAGAAGACTCATTCCAGCAGGCTGTGAACAAAATGAAGAGCGAAAGCAACTGACCAAGAGTCTTCGTAACGATCATGAGCAGTGGTGGGTGAGAGAGATGTAGAAGGTATCGGCACTAGGTAACACTTGGCAGTTATTTAAGCTTGTTAAGAAAATTTCCAAGAAGAGGACAATGGTGAGTGACCTCATCGCTGAAAAGGAATAGGACCATGATAACCTCCCGGGACAGGTAGATAGAGCGTTTTGTAGAACACTCTGAGGTACAGTTTAACTGGCCTACAGCAACACTTCAGTTGCCTAGCATTAATCGAACCGGAAACCGAATGGGACGTAGATTTCGATCTTCCAATTGCCTTTGAGGTTGAGAAGGCTATATCGAACCTGAAATGATGCAGAGCAGCTGGATTTGATAGTTTGCCTATCCGACGTTTTCAAGGATGGTGGCAGGAGGTTGCTAATTAAGGCGACTGAGGTACTACTTAGTGTATGGGAATCAGAGGTAGTGCCGCCAGGTTGGTGTACTTCACTGATCACTTCAGTCCATAATAAGGGATAGAAGTCTTCCTGTGACAACCATAGAGGAATTAGTTTGACTAATGTATCCAAGACCCTAGGATCCATAGTTATCCATTGCCTCACTGGAGCTTGAAACCAGCGAACTTGAGAAAGCCAGGCAGGTTACAGACCTGAACAAGGCCGCATCAATCATATTTTCACCCTTCAACGGGTCCTGGGACACAGGGGTACGTCCTGGTGGCCGACACCAACCATATTTCTTAACCTGAAGGTAGCATTTGATCCAGTCAACCGTGAGGTGTTGTGGCGATTTCTGACTGAAAGGAGTACCTAGAAAGTATGTACTGCTAATCGAATGCTCCCTACTAGAACTCACACAGCCGTGGAAAGGGTAGTAGAATGTTGTCCTCTGAACCGACGGCAACTAGTGGTGTCCGGTAGGGATGCCAAATCTCACTGTCCCTTTCTAACTTATGAAGAAACCTTACAGTGATTATTTTGCTCATAATCTATAAATTGAATTGGCTGACATGTCGACATGACTATTGGCTACTTGTTTTTTCTACTTCAGCGTGCTGAGAACCGAAAAGCCTTGTTTTTTTAAGTTACCATGCATTCGATTGAGCGTTTAATATAATATAGGGAATGGAATGAGCGATCTAAATAATGATACTTACACTCCAGATATTCGAATAATCATTTTGAACAGGATAGCTACATCAACCAGTAATCTACGTTTTAATAATGGTGAGTAAAGTTAGCAATAAAGGACTAGTGAACTTGAAGTGACTGTACAAGCTATCTAACAACTACTGAGAAAATCAGTAAGGTGCTTTTATTTATTTTGGAAAGGTGGTTTTCTTCCCATAAAACAGAGAAACCTAAATGGTGACTTCTGTAGTCGCTCAGGTGGCTTTTAGAGTCATTTGTGAAGTTGGTTATTAGTGCTTGAAAGTACCGGCGAATAAAGAAAATAATGATGTTGGAGGTTTGGAACTTGTATTTGGTGTGTCTACCTCTGATATGAGCACTATATAGTTCTGTTGAAATGTTAGTCTATGATATAAATTTGTTCATCAGTTTAACTGTCTGAGATAGCCGAGGTTTGGTAGATTTGTATTCATACTGGGTGATGATTGAAGGTGAAATGAAAACCTAGACCATAGCAGGTCCTTGGTTTGAATCCTACGCGGTTCAGGTTTTCATTTCACCTTTGATGCTCACCCAGTATAAACTTCTCAACAAACTAGCAGTTAGATGTTAGTTGGTTGGAGGCAGTCGGCAGGAAGACCTGCTCGACCTAGGTTTCGTGTTTTTTGGCACTCGTCAGCAAGGAGTAACTGCAACCTCGATGGAACTGATGTCCCGTCTGAGATTGGAGCCTGCGTCACCCAGTGTTGTAGTCAGTGACTTTATCACCGAGCTATTCAAGCTGCGATTGAACTCCTGTAGGATTGGATCACATGTATTGATTGGTCACAAGAGTGCAACCAATTTCATGCCTCCTATCGTCCTGGCTTGATTGATAGGATTTAGTCTGCACTCAGGACTAGACATCATGAAATTGGTTGAACTCCTGGGACCAATCAATGCAAAGCTAGCAGCTATTTTATTACCGGTAAGTATTTATGCGATGAACCGTTTGTTGGAATGGAACAAAATTATGGTCTCATTTAATATAAAAGAACTTGATGCTCTACGATGTAGTTTATGATTTCGCTTACCATATTTTCGGGCTGGATCTTAGGAGTCTTAGCCTTGGACTTAGGTTTCAGGTTTGGTGACATTCACCAGCAAAAGTTATCTCCAATCATGGGGGAACTGGTCTTCCATTGGTGATTTGAAACCAAATCATTCAGTATCAAACTCAGGGACTTTGAGATCAAGCCATTCAAAGCACAACCAACTGCCTATATGACTATTGGATTATGTGCATAAGTCTATCATCAGTGAGTGGGTAACCCTGTGTTGCTGTTTACTCATCATTGTTCAGCACCAACGGAACTCGCTTAGTCTAGTTTCATTAAATTTTCGTATCCAATGGGCGTGTTAAAATGAATACGGTCAACATGAATAGAGTTTCGCAAATATTCTGGAAGGAAATTCGGTCTTTCATTCTAAACATGTTTGAAGATTGTATCACATATTGACCTACATTGTGACAAGAGAACACCAGTGTCAAAGGTCAAGATATAACAGTAAATTGAATAATTACGGTTAGCGCGGGACTATCGTAACCTTTTATATCGGTTACTATTTTATTATATGAGTAAGACTTTTGTGCACTAATAATCATTGAGCAGGGGATCCACTTGGCACATTTTTCATGAGTTGTGTGTGTGTGTGTGTGTGTGTGTGTGTGTGTGTGTGTGTGTGTGTGTGTGTGTGTGTGTGAGGAATCCAAGAGATACGACAGCACTCAGAAAGCAGAATGTGACGTTATTCAGATGTGTGTAAATTAGTGTCCAACGTTTCAATATATTTGTACAGATTTGTTTGAATTGTTAGGAGAATAAGTACCTGATAGAAAGTCTTATTTTGTTTTCGTATGAATTTAGTTTTGATGCAAAGTATTTTTCGAAAAATACATATTTATATTCATGTGTTAGTAACGCACACAGTTATGTTGGACAGAATGAACTTTCTGCCAACATTTTATGAACTACAGATGTATTGTTTGCATAGAACTAATACTATGCAATTCAATATACAGTTACAGTGGTTTCTTCCATTAATCAAGACGAGCCGATTTCAGAATGTTGCTACTACTGAGGATGACGTCTGTTTATTAGTACCTCTTTGGTATTTTAAAACACTGATCTATTTGTTTCAGATCGGTACATATGACAACAAACCATGTCATTCATTAGTGCACTGTGGTTCACTCACCTCAATTAGATTCATGTTACTTATCTGTAGGACAGTCTTCTTTGAATTGACCTAATCGACAGGGATTATGTTAAAATCAGATATAACTATGAAGAAATAAACTAAATGTTTGTTGCATTTACTAGCTATATACGGGCTTGTTATTTTCTTAGAGTTGGCTATTTCAAGGTGATCTAATGCTCACAGTGGTTCGGCAGGAGATACGCAATTTTCTGCTTCAGATTTCAAATAACAGACGATTTAAATCTGTTCAGAATGCTGCTTATTATGGCTATTGAGCGCTGTGTTAGGCACAGTTTAAAAGAATTTTTCTAGCATATGACAATGAATCAATTACTTTTCATATCAAAGGATAAGTTAACTATTATTGGTAAATACTAGTGACTGAAATGGGTAGTTGAAAAGTACACTCATCAATTCGTAGTACTCTTTAACCAGATCTAAGTAGTTTAAACAGTGGATAGCTATTTCAATTGTTTAGCATTGAGCTCATCATCATCATCATCATCATCTAAATACGTAGGAGTACTGATCTCAGTGAGTGATTTCAAACTGTTTATATCATTCAGCAACATATACTGACTCTTCAGCTCTACTGTCTTCCTGATGTCATTTAAAATTGTCCACACCCGACCGTGTTATTATCTACACAAACATTTGTCCTAATTGCTATTGATGCTATCAGTATTTTCTTTGTATTTCCACTCTAGTATGTATTGCATCTGGTACAAAGATTGCCTTATTCAATAGACTACGCTCACAGACTGTTAGTACAAGGTATTTACATGTGGAGGATGCAAGTTTTCATGCAAGTTCCAGTCGTTGGGGTGCGTTCACTATCAATTTGCTGGCAGATGATCAAGATGAAGCTGAACAATTCACTGTACAAGAAGGTTATATACATTATGGTCATACTGTTAAATTAGTCTGTTCTGAAACTGGTATGGCACTTCCACGCTTGGTAAGTCACCTAAGCTTATACAATATTTAGTATTCCTGCTATTTTGAATAAGCTGAAAGAATATATTGTATAAAGTATGCTGATGCGACTAACCAGAAAAGTCTTAGGTTATATACAACGAGATAAATAGGGTACAGTAGGATATCGTTTCACCAGGGTGAACAGAGCCACTTTTTTTCTCAAAAATTTCATCAAATTTCCCCAATGCATTGCCCTTACCTGATAATTGAAAAAAGAATAAGTTGTATTTATCCTGAGATGCTTGCAGTCTAGTGTACTGTTCAGGAGAAGTACTATAGAAGAATTTTAAAGTAATTATTGGATCAGAATTAACGTTTTATTTGAATTTAGTTTCAGTTCAACTTTTGTAACTTCATTCTTTGTATTTACATGTAGAAAAGCATTTCCCAGACTAATTACCTCGGTCTACTGAATATAGTCTCATGACCAACAATTAAACATGGCAGAAAAATATCTTATTCCTTCTCGATACTGGATAAAGATGAAAGGAAAACAAACCTAGAAATGATGATTGCTTCTTGGACTAAGTGTTGAGTTGTATGACAGGCGAAAGCATCAGTAGGTAGCTTTAGGCATCAGATGGATCATGGATGAGTTTTCCGGCTTGTTTACAGCTTTTTAACGGGATAAGTTAAAATTCTGTTGTGTTTTGTAAGTACTTTCCTGCTATATGAGGTGATAAATGCTGAATTGGGTGCGGATCTCACTAAGATAATGAGTTTCACATAAGATGAAACACATATGAAAAACAGACATAATCATAAGAAAGAAGTATGTCGGTCCAGATTTCCAAACTTCATAGCAGCATGCAAAGAACAAGTGGGTACAGAAACAGTAATATCAGATCAGACAAAGGTGTATGGGCAGGAAGAGGAAAGGAATCTGAAACTAAGGCTTAATGGGAATATCCAAGTTTTAGAAGATGCTAAATAGTGAATACATCTGCAATGTGGTGACCGACTTTCAGCCATATCATTATTACCTCGTGGACTCTAACCGAACCGACTAAAATCAACGGTAAGGGACTTCATCGACTGGTGCCACGTTTTCTGTCATAAAAAAATTGACGGTTGTCTTGACACTATTGAACCAATAGAAGAAAAAGATTTTTATTTTAGCTCATTAGGAACTACAAAAAGTCTGCACTCACTATAATTGATGTAGAGGGCTGTGTAGAACAAATAAAATTAATAGGAAGGAGGCTGTTTCACTTTCTTGTCATTTGCCTTCTATACTGTTATTGCATTACTCCTATCATAGTCTTCTATTCTAATCATTATGTACTGTCAGGTAGTGTTGTACTTATTTCGGCCATTTTGTTTAAGTATTGGTGGCTAGTTACAGTAGTGCACGTATCTGGCTTGTTTTCCATCCCAGTTCACCCACCTCCACTTTCAACTGCACTGGTTCCTTTCCTGTTTACTACACATACTTCATTTGATAACTTCCTGAACCTTTGTTTATCGTTTATCTGACGGTATTGCCTCGTGCGTTGATACGCATTTTTTCCTCATAACTACATTTGCCTAGCAACTTGGGGCAGTTGTACCATATTTGTGCATTTATAGTCTACCAAACCAAAGTTATCTCAAATAGTCAAACTGATAATTAATATTATATGCTCCTCTTCTCTAATTCAGGTTGGTTTGGATTCGGAAGAGAAGTCGTGGCAAGGCAGTCAGTGTGAATACGATCAAGCGTTAATAATGCATCAGAAATTCACATAGCTGTCGGGCCAAACTTTTGGTGATTGAAGTGAAATAAAGATCTGGTCAGCAGTTAGATCTTGTAACTCAGTTGGTAGAGCATCCAAGAGGTAACTCGGTGGTCTCTGCTTCGAATCCTACCACGGGCCGGACTTTTATTTCACCTTCAACCATTACTCAGTATCAATATAAGTCTAGGTGACGTTTCAAGGGGAGATGAAAAACTAGGTCATGGCACGATTCGAATAAGCAACCTCTGAGCTGGTAACCCGTTCTAGATGGTTCAGTAAAAAGTAAAAAACAGTTTGTAAAATCAAAATAGTAACACCTATATATTTAGGTGATATTATTTAACCTAAAGAGGTTAGGGGTTACCAAAAGAAGGGATGAAAGATGCTTCAGCTATTGCTCGGAGTTAGTGGATGACTGTACATGATTAGTAACCAGCTACCTTGTATTCTTACTTAAAGTTTAACGATCCTAATGAACTGAACAGTTGTATTTTCCAGTAGTGTGTTTCAGCTAGACAACAATGCGCGTCTTCTAAGTTGTGAAGCCGGTCGGTAGGGCTATATAGAAGTTTATTTTAAGGGAGTCTTAAAGGGAAATCTATAAGTATTGTTTCTGTTGTACGATGCTTGTCATTTCCCGTTGCTATACTGGGTCGAATTGATCGACCTCTGTCTTGGTAGATGGACTCTTATGCGGATGCCTTGATACTGCCCGAATATTCATTATATTGTAGGCCACTGGGGTATGAGAGCCACCTCTTGGGCTCCAAGTGGTCTAGTGGATAACACTTTGGCATTTGAAGCGATGGGTGCTGTGTTCGAGTTTGAGTGGGAACGCTGTCACTCACTGGGATGCAGTTACGTCCAGCTGACGAGTTTCAAGTAGGACGAAACGCACACCATTGGTTCCACTGCTAGCCACCAAGCAGACTACAACTAGGAGTTTTTCATTTACCCTAATTGACTTAGAGAATGAACAGTTGGTGATGATAAGGAGAGGGAGGGACAGGGGTACTTCATTCTTTATGCTGTAAATTACTTGTGGTTAGAAAATGTTGTGTTTTCGATAACCAATCCAATCTAATTGAGAGTGTCTCAAGCATGTTAGTTCAACGTTGTTTAGAGAATAATCTTGTAATGAACTGAGAGTAAAAGCTTATGTTAAATTCCAGAAAAGGATGGAAACTTTAATCAATTATTGCAGATTTTTAATTCTATTGTCTGCCATGTAAACCAGTGAAAATGAAATACTTTTTTGTTCTTGACGAAATCGTTGTCGTCGCCACATTTTTATTATTTCCTTATCTACATGTCTTTCTTCGCATAGATTGTACGTAAAGTGGACAAAACAACTGTTCTCCTTGATGCTGATGATCCAGTTAGTCAACTTCACAAGTGTGCATTTCACCTGAAGGATACAGATAGAATGTATTTATGTCTTTCACAAGATAAAATTGTCCAACTACCGTCTACACCATGTGATGATAATCCACATAGAGAGAAAATCAATGATGCTGCAGCATGGACAATTATTAGTACAGATAAAGCAGAATATCGTTGGTTTGAGCCTAGTCATTTACCAAGTACTTATAGGACAACAGATGGACAAGTTAAATCAATTAAACCGCCAATTTCATGTATTGTCCCAATTACACCAGTACCAGTTGTACGTGATATGCGAGTCAATGGTGGAGGTGATGTTGCAATGGTTGAATTAATCGGAGAGAATTTTAGTCCTAGACATCAGGTGTGGTTTGGTGATGTACCAGCACAAACATTTTATCGATGTGAAGAATTATTACTGTGCTTTGTACCTGACATATCAGAATTTTATCGAGACTGGACGTATATACAAAAAACGTTGGAGGTAAGTAAATAATTGGACCTATTCAATCCCTAGTACCGTTTACTTGTTCCTGGGATTATATTCTGTTGATGAAACCAGTGAGTTACTCTCAGTTAATTTGTAGACCAATTTGTTTGGTAATGTAATAATTATGAATGTAGACGACATAGCATTCTAAGACATTTGATCATGAATGCTTTTGGATGGCTGCGCATATTTTAGAGACACGAAGTGAGAGGTACTAGGGTTGAGCTGCGCAAGTTGTTTTAGTCAAGCGTTAGGATTTTACTGTGATGTAATTGGATACCATACATTTGTAAGTGTATGTACTACACAATTCCGATGATTGTGTACTTTGGCTCACACGTGTGTGTATATGTGTGTGTGGAGTATAAGGAACTTTAAGGGCAGTCGGACACAGACTGCATCAGTTAATGAAACTTAAGCTCAGTCTAATTTCGTAGAACCAGAAAAGTAGGTGGTTGATGAACTTGTTTATGGTAGATAAGAATCAGTGCCAGTGGCGCAGATGAATTCATATATGATCTGAGTATTAATCGCTGTACTGAATTCAGCATTTTCTCATTCCTCCTCCCCCTCTTTTGCTGTTGTCTACTGTCTTCATTTTTCATCTTATTGCTTTCTCTCCTGATGTGCTGAGTGAACTCTATGGATGGGTTCACATGTTGAATTTCTCTTTCTCTAAAACAGTTGAAAATATTATCCCATTTTAACGTATGCTGTATTTCTTTTACGCAGTTTCTTCCGGTTTTTAAACTAATTTGTTTCTGATGTTGATTATCTCCCACTGTTTTTGAAAATGTGGTAGCCTGAACTACTTCAGTCAGTCAGTCAGTCAATCAGTCAGTCAGTCAGTCAGTCAGTCAGTCAGTCAGTATCTGTCTGTCTCTATTACATCAGATCACTTTGCGTGCTCTTGTTTAAGCTGATTGTTAACAACAACAGTAATACACAGCACTCGGAAGCTATAAGTAAAGGGATTTCAATGTTCTAGGTGTAATATTTTTTGTTATGTTACCTTGAAGAACCTGGGAAAAGTTTTCAAACTTAACTCTGTACAATATACACACTTCTTCAGGTTCGTGCCGATCGAGTAAAAACGTAATATATTCAAGTGTCTAGCACTTGGAGTTAGGTCCATTTGTTCCATGGAGTGTGTGGAAAAAGAACTATTATGCATCTGAGATATTCTAAGTTGAAACAGATATCCAAAGGAGTTCATCAAGGCTAACATCACTTATAATAATCCCAAATGAAAATTCATGACAGTGGAGAAGAAGCCTTTGTTTATGCAATTACAACTCAAGGGAGAATTTCGAAGTGATATCCTACCAAAATGCATAGCTGGGGCGGTCAATAGGACGTTTATGCAGGTCATCTTCGCATATATTTCAGTAGTTGACCGATGCTCAATCCGAGACTAAAGGATAGCCTACCTAAACTTAGCTCTTCATCTAGCATAAACTAATTTAATCGTTCCCGTGGGACAAATTAAATAAGATATACAATTAAGCAACTGCGTCTCCGGGTACGAGGGCAGTTATCGATTTGGTTTACAAAAAGTGATATGAAACTCGTGGAAAGTTACATCCAAACCCTCCTAGTAAACACAAGGCATCACATAGATGTTAATAACGCTTACCGTGTCATACATCATGGAGAAAAAACATTACCAGATATAGTTTGCCATGCCGACTCAACATAGCTGAGGGCGCCGTAACAGAACTGACCAAACTTGAACTTCACATTTAGAAAGATCATGTTCAAACGTTATCCCTCCTTTGGTCTTCTTTATTCGTTGTCTTTTCGTTTACCGCCACATTATTCACTCATCTATATATGTCATTTTAATGTTGATAAATTTAAATAGAAAAGTTTATTTCCTTACAGTCCGTGAATCTCACTCGATTTTGAAAATTTATTTGCCTTTAACTTAGCTTGGTATTACGCTGTACAAACGAATTTTATAATTGTAAAACCTGATGAAAATTCACTGAAAAGAATATTCTCAGTTCAAATCGTTGCTTTTTATCAATGTTATGAGAATCTTTAAATGTTTGAAACCTTATAAAAAGGGAGTTTTTACATATATAGATCAACAATCATTGATCTTACTGGTTATTTGAATTCAATTTTTACATTGAGCATGTCAGATGAAGGCTGACGTTTATCCTTATCGGACTTTTTGTTTAAATGAGCTTTATATCTAAATAATTTCTAAAAAAGCTTAGTCACAAAATCAAATATGAATTCTGTTCTCCTTATCCCGTTGGTCATGGCAAAATTTATACTTTTTGTTTAGTTCAACTTATTCTATTACCTCTAAATGTCACATCGGGTTCACCACTTCTCTTTCCTTTTACAACTCTTCATTATATCTTCTGTTATACAATGACATCATTCAGAATTTGAAGATGATTTAGAAAAGAATATATAGCTGAAGATATGTACGTTCTTGTAGAAGTGTACTTTGGAATACTATTATTTGAGACATCTTACAAGGATATTTGCGCATTGTCTTCAGCGCAAAGTACAAAGTTCTAAGTTGGAGACCGCTTCTGAAGTGACCGAGTGAATAATAACAATATTAATAATAATAATGATAATGATAATAATAATAATAATAATAAACACGCGAATGATATTTAACGCAATGAGACACTGGGACCGGATACGACTAGCCACTGTTCTCCCTCAGAACCTTATACTTCACTGAGCTGAAAAAAATCAACAGACGAAGAACCGACCTTTGACTGTAAGGACGACTCTTTATTCGACAAAAACATCAATTTATATATAGTTTACATGAACGTATAAACCATTAGATCAAAAGCTAAATAACTTAATTTGATTGGTCAACTGCAATGTAAAATTTTCCAATAAGATTTTTCCTGACCACACAGTGATATGAAACAAAAATTGAAATCCGAAATTTCTATCTTAGCGACTGAAGACTTAAAGGATTTATTTCCACTTAGACCTCTTCCTATCAGTTTTTATTATAACTTTAACGATTTATTAGCTCGATTTCTTATTTTGACTAGTAAACGTATTTGTAACAGTTAAAGAGACACAGAGATGAAGAGTTTTGAAAATGTTATCTTTGTATCTGTAACTAATTCTCTCTGCTGTGAATATTGACTAATTATGTTGACCATACCAAATGCTTCTAGTATCGCGATGAGTAGTAAAGTGGTGATGCACTAATTCAGACAGGATGTATCGGGTGCAATTAATTCCGCCGCCCGACACTAAAATCACATAATTTATAGCTTCTCACTAGATGTAACAGATATTCCTTTTAAAGAAGTTCATTTTGTGTTTTTTAAGTTTAATATCACCGATTTAGAAGATAATTTTAAAAACTTTACTGGCACATAGTTGAATTTAATTAATTAAATTACTGATTTTCTTCAATAACTATTGAATTTCGAAATTGTGTTGCAATCATTTTATGCCTTTTTCCTTTTCAACTCTTTAATATCCTCAGGTGCCTATTAGTTTAGTTCGACAAGATGGTATTATTTATTCCAGTGGATTAACATTCACATATCATCCAGAGTCTGGACCAAGACAACATTGTCAACCAGCTCTTGAAATTATTCGTGCCGCAAGTATTGCAGCAGCGGCTGCAGCTGCTGCAGCTGCTTCATCGAATTCTTTATTATGTACATCTACAAAATTACTAACAGAACCGTCTTGTTCATCTAGATCAGGTTTATTCACATCGATTGAGTGTATCAGCAGTCAACTGCAACCTATTAATGAAGAATACAATTTTTCTCAATTACATAAGGATTCAATGTGCCTTGATAGTTCGTTTCTCAGTTCAGTATCATCGACACCGTCAGCATCAACTTCACGAGTGGTAAATCGGTTAATTAACACTAATAGTCGTACTGGTGGTTATTATGAAGATGTAAATTTCAACCAACAACAACATCATCTTCATCATCATCATCACCACCAACATCACTTGCTACAACAACAACAACAACAACAACAACAACAACAAGATTCACAGCACTTAATAGTTGTTGACCCTCAAGAACATCATATCTTAAGAAACAGTAATCTGAATTCAAATTCTTTAACTACATCCTTAGGGAATACTACAACAGATTGTCCTTTTTATATTCCAGTGAATACAAGTTGATTCATGAGCGGTACAAATATCCAACTCATTTTTCGTGCGATTCTCGATTGAGATAGCCTTTATTCAGTCAGATATGTAAAAGTATACAGATATACTTATAACAAGTCTTTCCTTATCCCTTCTTGTTTTACTGATAATTAGATGAATATAAATGCATAAACAACATCTGCAGCCTAACGTTATCTACACTTCACTCTCTGGAATTATCAGATTGATCGATGAAAAAAGCAAGAGAGAAGCGAAGCAAAGCATAGTAGTGTTACAGTTTCACCTTTTTCTCAATGTGCTTCTATGCTCTGCTCATCCATGACTTTGACTACTTACTACCGCCCCTTGTTTCCCCTCTCCCCTTACTGTTTTTTTACATCAAAAAAGCTTGTTCTATTACATAAATATATATGAAAGAAGAGAATTATTCCCTGTTACTGTCTTGATTCTGTTGATTTGGCTTTCCTCCCTCTTGTAAGTAACTATCCAACTTTTTATTTCACAAAATAAATAAAGCTTATGTACAGTTTTCGAATTAAAGCTGTTTTAATTTCGTTATTGTTTCTGTTCTAATTTGAATTAAGGTGACCAGTTAGACGTTACATTGTGCTATAGACTTTGACCGAAACAGAGTCATTAAGTATTTCTGATACATTTGAGGAGAGACGGATACTTTTAAAGATAAGCTGTTGCCGTTAAAAAAAATGTTTTCACTCATACTACTAGGTATTTGCTAATAGTGTGAGTGTTTATTTAAATCAAGAAGCCAATATAATGAACAAGCCATGAACTGAGTGACGCTTATATCTTAAAAATGCCTTTATAGTTCAAGATTGTGCATAATTTTCCAAAAGCGAATGCAGAAAATCAAATTGGTTCTTTTACTACTCATAATAAGAACAATGTAATGTATTTGGAACAATTAGCCCCTATTGTGAATTTGGATAGTGTAATTGGAACACGTAGTTTATCTGAAAAATGTGATGTATTTGCACCACATATTTCAAACACTTTGACCATTCATTTACGTATTGAGACATATTACATGTAAAGTGGGAATAGGAGAAGGATATGTATGACATTAAAGAATTTAATGATCAAAAAAGTACTGAAGGGAGAATGATAAGTTTTGAAGGCAACCTTGCTAGTACGGCGAAATAAACGTTACCAGGGTAAACTCAACGTAAGGACAAACCATTTTTGAACACACAACAGAGGCCTAAATTAGTGTATAGCTGGCACTACGACCACCCAAGTACACATCCCTGATAGTTATCATGTAAAATTACTAAGGCTGTTTTAAGGTCAATCCTGTGACCTCTGTCAATAATGTTTCACAATGGATGATGACGGTTGTCTGCCACCTGATCTTATAGATGTTTATGAAGCCAGTTGTTCGTGTGGCCATTCTGATATATTTTACACCATCGTCAAGTCCGTATCCTGATTATTCTGCATCCATCCAAACATGTAAGCTGGTACACGCAGTGGGATGTGACGCAATCGTCTACACAGTGATGAGTTATGTGATACAACATGTATTTGGTTTTCTTAGCTATGATAAGCCTAGCTTCATAGCTTGTTTTGGTGGTGGTAGACCTCAACCTTTGTTTTAAAATCACCCTATGGTTTCTCTCTGTATGGTAGAGTGATATAGACGCATTTCTTCAGAACAGAATACAGAGTGGGTTTCAACACTGACTGATTTCTGCCACTTCACTTCCACTAATATTTCAGTCAGTATTTTGATATCATCGTCAATTGAGTCTTCCTTACAAATACGCTGGATCTTTTTGAATAGACACTTTATCAAACTTCACCTGTAGAAACTTAAATACTGTCTCGTACAAGTAAGTTTCCTGTAAATCGACTGTTTTATTGGACCGTCTTTTCTATGACTTAGCAGTAAGCCTCCCTTGTGCGCTTAAAAAAAGTTTGTCCTTACGCTAAGCCTACTCTAGTGATCTTTTATCTTATCGTATTACCAACGTTTTCTTCAAAACTTATTATTCTCCCTTCATTACCTTTCTCCTTATTATTATTAAATTCCTTCCTGTCATATTTATCCTTCCTCCACTTCCAGTTTTCATATAAAAAGCCATTACCAAGTAAATGTGTGATCAGATTGTTTGAAATGTATGGCGCAAATAAATCACGTTTTCAGGCAAACTATTTCTTTTGATGACGCTATCCGGAATCGTGATTATATTTTGTCATACAGCTATGATTCGATATTATTTTTACTAACTATAGATGATTTGTCCAATTATTCTAGTCGAATTGGTATGCACAAATGATGTAATCACTAAACATATTACATAAAACTGTGCTTTGGTTTAAGTTGGGGAACACTGTTGAAGAGGGAGTGTTTATAGGCTTTCTTTCTAGGTTATAGTACTGTTGTTCCACTAGGTAATTGTGTGTAAACTTTTATTGATACCTTTTAGTGGACACATGCTAACTGAGAAATCTTTCAATAAAAGATCTTTAAGTAACTCCACTGTTATACTTAATTGACTGAAAGGATTATAAAAGGGGTATATGCTTCAAAGGTTAAAAACGAGATAAATGTTTACCTTCCTTTGGATGTATAAATTAGTTGACACCAAAATGGATCAGCAAAACGATTTATTTATTTGGAGCCTGCATAGACAGGATAGTATCTTAATTAGCTTAGTTCCCCACAGTTCAGGGCAAATGAACAAGATTCGGATTTTCAACAATAATGTCATTTAAGTCAGTGCTTCTATGTGATGGTTCAAATACTTGGCACCTTACGAAGAGCATTCCCAACAAGCTGCAGACATACATCAAAAGCTGCTGCCTACTGTCACTGAATACTGAAGATCAAATGGATGTCCAGAAAGAATAAGCAAGGATGAACTCTGACTGGCTGGCAACGAACCAACCAAGCAGCAACCTATCGCCCAACAAATATACAGAAGAAAGTGGAGATGGATTGGATTGGGCATACATTGAGAAGACCATTTGAGGACATCACGCGCCAGGCCGTCGAGTGGGAACCAAATGGGAAACGACGACTTGGGTGTAAGAGCTGAGGGTGACATGGAGGAGATTGTGTGAGGAAGAAATGAGTGTATGTGGGCAGTCGTGACGCCAGGTTGAAAATACTGCAGAGAAGAGAGTGAAATGGCGACATGCTACTGAAGTCTTTTTTCCCACTGGGAACTCAAGGGACAAATAATAGTAAAATTGAATTCAGTTGAGATGCTTGATGCGCTATTTTAGAGATGGCTTGGAAAAACCGATGTGAATTACAACACGAGAGAATCGTATATCCGCTTTGTCTTTGATTCAATTGTCATCGATTCTGTTTAAGATTCATGTGATGACGAAATCATCCTTGATGAGTAAGTGGGTTGAAATACAGTGGCTAGTATCAGTTAACTTGAAGGGTCTGGGCCTAAGCCTATTGCAAACTAATTCACTTCTGGTTAACTGAATCGTTTGTTATGATTGATGGTGTTACAAGGGAATATTTTGTAAGATTTTACTGAATCTTGTTACTTGTACTACAGTCAAGTTGAACGACTTAAGAGCAAAGGGCCAGTAACCCAGTGGCCGATGGCTGAAACCCTGTCACGACTTAGGTAATCATTTCACCTTCAATCTTCACCCACTAGGGATAATAATAATAATGATAATGATAGTAACCAGCCTAGTGTTAATTGTGCAATGAAAACAATATGAACAGAGCCATCATGATATAAAGCGACAACATCTAGCGACAATAAGTTAATTTATACATTCATCTATCTGGCTTATTAGTCTATGGATATGTTTACTCAAGAACAAATTATCACTATTTTACCGATGAGTGAGTACGATACGGAAATAAAGAAATAACAAATGTGAAGTGTGACGTAGAAGTTGAATGTAACTACTAGTAATAGTATTGGTAAACAATGTCACAAAACTAATGACATGAAAATAATAGTTCATCAGGGATGCCAAGGAGGGTACATGAAAAAATGGAACGGAAGATTAAAGTGTGAAATCTATAACAGGAACGTTCATAAATAATATTTTGACTCTTTTATGTGTACATAAAGTGCAAGTACTTGAACACATGGAGCCTGTTTTCTCATGTCGATTCATACAGCTTCTGCGATACATAAGAGACGTAGTTGTTTTGCATCGATTGGTCGGTCACCGGAGGGCAATTTAACTTCATGTTGTTTAGTCCTAGGTGCTGATCGAATGGGAAACCGTCGAGTGGGAACCAAATGGGAAACGACGACTTGGGTGTAAGAGCTGAGGGTGACATGGAGGAGATTGTGTGAGGAAGAAATGAGTGTATGTGGGCAGTCGTGACGCCAGGTTGAAAATACTGCAGAGAAGAGAGTGAAATGGCGACATGCTACTGAAGTCTTTTTTCCCACTGGGAACTCAAAGAACAAATAAATAAATAATAAAAATATCCAACAGGTTTCTTTGAGCATGCCAAATTAACACATTTGGAAGAAGAGACAGGTATGTTGACAACAACGTTGCTTCATAATAATAGTTATCCACTAAAATGTACCAGTCAGTGCAAAATAACTTGAGAATCGAGACTTACAGTTCACTCGATCTCAGTGGAAGATGCAGTTACCAGTCTTCTACGAATGCTTAACTGATGCCCGTTTGATGCTAGAATGACACATTATGGATAGAAGTTAAAGACAAATGAAATGATGTTGATTGGTTACTAGAAGACAACCAACGTCATGTTTTTCTAGTCTTAAGTGCTGATCGAATTCTGTCGATCATTTCTCAATGTGGCCACCAGGCTTGGAGACTCACCAACGTGATACACTGGGACAGATGTTGATTGAATGGTGGTAATCAGCAGAAAACTCTGCTCGATCTAAATTTTGTGCTTGTAGGCACTCGCCAGCAAGGTTTATCTGCAACTTGGATGGAACTGATGTCCCACCTGAAACTCGAACCCGAATAACCTATTTCAGCAATGAATGAAGCGGATTTGAATTTAAGCGGGATATCAGCTCCGTCGAGGTTTCAGATACGCATTGTTGGCAAGTGCCAACAAACAAGAAACCTAGGTCAAGCAGGGCTTGTTGTTGATTGCTCCCAACTAGGTAACTATTTTTTACCACACGACGAGGATTCTCAAATCACTTCTAAAGTTATATGTGTAAACAGGTTTCCTATAGTATTTTTTTGATTTATCAGACCCTATGAGTGGATTTTGAAGAGCTTTTAATGGTACTGCATGTTATATGAACTATGTCAGTTTATAAAAACAATTAGGGCAAGAGATTTCCTCATTTTTGGCTTCAAATTTGTAATCTCTGGCTCCTGTCGTAATACAAGTACAACTGAAGTATCTCATTCTGCATACACTTCACTTATCCAAGGAGTAAGATGTAATAAGTGTGACGAAAGACGTCCTTCTTCTCCCTCTTTGTAGAAGTTCTACTCACAATCGACTCATGTTACTTCAGAACATGTATCTTTTGAAATCTTTTTACTAATATTATAAATCCTAATTATTGCAATTGATATTATGAACCACTTCGTTCAGTTTAATTTG